ATTTCAAATTTACATAAAATGGGTTAAGAATTCCACCAATTTTAACTTTACTAATTTAACGAACATCATGTCGATTCATCAGGAGTTATTCACCAGAGTCCTGACAACCACAAAAGCCACCGTAAAATCAACCTTTACTGTGGTATGATATTGTACTTAGTTTTTCCCGATTTTCTTATAGTATAAAAAAAAAGTTAATGAATTCCTGTAATTTAATGCTCTGAATCAGTTTTGTGAACAAGACGTGATAGATGCAAATGAACTCACAAGGAAATACTACACTATTGCTAATGATACCACAAAACATTCTGACTCAATTAAAGCAGTTTTTGACCAAGCTGCAGCAGATTGTAAAACCGAAGATGTGAATATGGTTCAATTTGCATTGATGACTTTTGTTACTCATCATCATAATGCCAGGAAAAAAAAAATCCGAATTCCGTCTTTGGCTCGTCGTAATCCAGGTCTTAGTGCTCCTGCTAAGCCTGTTTATATAACCCCAGGCCCTTTTATTGGTAGTAGACCAGTTGCACCAACTCAAGATGTTAGCAGTGAACAAGTTCTTGACTATTGGCGTGAAGATCCAAACTTGAACCAACATCATGAGCATTGGCATATTGTATACACTAATCAACCACTCCCTGATCCTCAATTTCCCCACGATAAGAGTAAGGAATATATTAAAGATCGTCAAGGTGAACTCTTCATTTACATGCACAGACAAATGGTTGCCAGGTAACTGATTTCTTCTCGTGACGTAAGTTATTGCCCACGTGATTTAAAATACAATAATAACGATAGCTTTAATTGACAATGATCAAGATATAATGCTGAGCGCCTTGGAGTTGGTTTGGGTGCTGTAATACCTCTTGAGAATTATCATGAGCTTATTCCAGAAGGCTATTTCCCTTCACAACATTTAGTTGACGACATGGATAATACAACTTTTTCCTCTCGTGCTTCTGGCTTAAAATTGGTTGATGTTAGCAAGTATCAATCAATATATATATTTTTTTACGTGATTATCTTTAGTATGTATCAAATATTAATATTTAATTTATTTGTTTATAGCCATGCCTGGAAGGAAAGGCCGTCCAGATCAACACATTAAAGTATCTGAATTGGCAAGACTCCGCGACCTTATTAAAAAAACCATCGAACAAGGTCACTTTGATGACACAAAGAAAACTCCGGTTACAGCTGAACTGTTAGGTCGCGCAATTGAATCTGGTCTTCAATCAATGACTGGGTTTGATCAGTATGGACCGTTCCATAATATTGGACATATGCTGTTAGCATTTATTAATTGTCAAAATACCAGTAAGTATCTATATGTCAATTTCAATTCTAAATATGGTTTGTCTTTAAAAGAAATTTTGTGCACAAACTTTTTTTAGAGGAACTCGACCGTGGTGTAATGGGTGATGTACGTGTCGCATGTCGAGATCCGGTTTTCTGGAAGTGGCATAAACATGTTGACGATCTTTTTAGAATTTATCAAGAAAAGCTAGGACCAAATCATTTTAACGACTGTCCACCCGTAAAGATTTCATCAGATGGTATCATCCTCTGTTTCAAAGATAAAATACCAGGTATTAAAGGATTAAAGGATCCCCAACAAGATATTGAAGCAACTAAATGGGGAGAACAAACCTTTGGTGGACATCATTTCCATAAAGAACATGATCTTCAATCCACTAATGTATTGGAAACTAAGATGAAACAAAGAAAACATGCTTGGCTTGAAGATGATCAATCAACTCAAATAATTGAATATCTTTTCCCACGAGAATGGTATTATTATTATTTTAATTTTGAGATTTTTATTGCTTTTAACATATTCTTAAGACTAATTTTTCTTTCGCACAGGTATTATTTCTTCCGCGTTGAGAACACTTCTAATACGGTAATTATTTATAACAGAACCTAATTAAATAGATCGTATCATTTTGTAATTAAATGTATTCCTATATTTATCATTCTTTAGAACATCAATGTTACTATCCGAGTCTTCATTGTCCCCATAGAACGATGCGACAGTTTTAACGAATGGATCGAAGTCGACAAGTTTAAACAAGAGCTTCCACCGAAATGCGGAACCGTTGTTGCACGTGATTGTGATCGTTCGTCAGTGGTGAGACAACCACCACAAAAAACCATAGATGAATTAGATGATACAGCAATTGCGGCCAATACGGAGGACCAAGAATCTGATGAAGAGAAATACTGTGACTGTGGATGGCCGTTCCATCTGTTATTACCTCGTGGTTCGCGTAATGGAATGAAGTTTAAGTTATTTGTATTTATTAGCGATTGGGAGAAAGATAAAGTTCCTCAAGTTAGTAGATGTGGTAGTTTGAGTTTCTGTGGTGCAGAAGGACCAAAGGACAAATATCCTGATATCCGTCCAATGGGCTATCCTTTTGATCGTCCTTTCAAAGACTGTTCTTTTGAAAA